AGCTGGCTTTGAGTGGCCAAACTACTGGGCCTACAAGTGAACCAATAACTGCTTTGAAAAAGTCCAATTCACCATTATTAAGCTGTTTTGTTTCTTTTTTGTATTTCTTTGATTCTCCAAGTTGAGCTAAACCATGTTTAGTTTCACTTTCTGGTTCTCAGGCACTAGCACAGCGTTGCAGTGTTGGGTTGCAGATACTGCTTGGGAGTGTATAGATCTAAAAATGTGTTCACTAACACGTAGATCTTCATGTCTGTGTGTGATGCCCCCCAGCCACCCCCACCCCCATGAACAGATGGTTACTTTAATAAAGAAGCTAAATGCTGGTGTCACAGTAGCTTCTGGGAGCATCCAAAAATAAGAGGAATAGTGCAGAAAGTTACAAGGGAAACTTTCTTTGGCTCCATTCCTTCCAGAAGCTGCTGATGCTGTTTCTGACTTAATCCTGGTGCTGACAAATGGCTTACAAAAGTTCTTCAAGGAACCTGCGAGCTTCTCTCTTTAAAGCCTCGCATTGTGCTCTAAAGTTCAGGTTGTTTGAGTGTGGCTTGGGAAGTCCTTCCTCACCAGCCTGGGAGCTGCTTTGTGCATGGTCAGGGAACGGGATAGGCTTCCTGCTCTCTGAGGCTTCTCCCTTCCCCCTCCCTCCTGTCTGTGGGCAACTAAGCTTGTGCCTGTGGGAAAAGTCGCTCCTTTGTTTGCTCTAGCATCTCGCCTGACTGATTTTTATCTCTTTGCTTGCTCCATGACTGCCACGTCATCGCACAAGGCAAGGTGGTGAGAGCGACTGCCCAGGAGTACAGGTGTTGGTGGCTAATGTTCTTTTTAATGGAAGATCCTAGAAAACAGTGCAACTGAATGAGTTTATTCCAGTGTGAGCATGTTGATCTCCAGTGGCTAAAGCACAGGACAGGGTTCTAGTTCCACTTGCTCTGCCACTGACCTGCTTTGTGGAACTGGGTGTATTACTTAACCTCTGTCTGTTTACACATCTGTGAAATGGAGATAATACTTGCCAACCCCCACAATGATATTTGAGGCTTAACTAATTGAAGGTACTTTGGCTGAAAGGTGCTGTGGAATGATAATGTATTACTATTAACTGTGCAGCTGAAGATCAGTAGTTGATTCATTATGAGCATTAGACTTTCAATTGCATTTGAAAGAGGAACCTGCGGGAGAACTTGGGAACTTGGCGCTAACCACAATTTGTGGTTGAGGGAGCCCTGATCTACTTCCTTAAACTCTTCAGGGAAGGATCATCTCGCGTCTTTTTAAAAACAGTTATACATTTTAAAAAGTGGCTACAGATAACTCTAAACACAAACCGCAGGCATTATCATAGTGGCTTCCTCCGCCAGCCTTGTACACTACCTAACAGGCCCAGGTACATCAATAAAGGCTCTGTCTTCATATGTATTTGTACAGCACCTCGCACAATAGAGCCCTGATTGGGGTCTCTGGGCATTACCATCATAAAATGAGAAATTCCCTTTGTAGGGGAGGGATAGCTCAGTGGTTTGAGCATTGGTCTGCTAAACCTAGGGTTGTGAGTTCAATCCTTGAGGCGGCCACTTAGGGATCTGGGGCAAAATCAGTACTTGGTCCTGCTAGTGAAGGCAGGGGGCTGGACTCAATGACCTTTCAGGGTCCCTTCCAGTTCTATGAGATAGGGGTGTGTGTGTGTGTATATTCGAGTCTTCCGGAGAGTCCTTATCCCCACCTCCTTGCTTGGTTGTAGTGACTTTTCGTTAGCTGTGTGATGACATTGCTGACAAGACAGCCTAGGACTGGCCTCCCCATCTCTGAACAGAATGGATGCACGTGAAATCTCTGCTGTTATTGTAATTAACTCAAAACCTATTGGAAACAATGTCTACTTGAGCAGAAAAATAGGCTACTAAATTCCAGTCGCTAAATAGAATTATGTGCTCCCTCCTTTGTGCAATATGTAAAATACAAAGAAGGGCCAGGATTTTCAGAAATAGTCACCTAAAGTTAGGCACTTATTTAAATGTGGAGCACCCCACAGCTCCTACTGACCCAAATGGTTGCTGCTGGGTGCTCAGCTAGTTTTGAAAAACAGCTACTTATTTAGGTGTCAATTTTTAGGCTCTTGTTTCTCAAAGTCTTGGCCAAGTCTAAGGCCTTGTCTAAACACACAAGTTGTACTGTTTTAACTGCACTGCTATAAAGTGATGTATTCCCACACACATCCCAGAGTGGATGTTGTTATATACGTATAGTGTTTGGGAAGGGGAGTAAGCTATACTGATACCAGGTGCCTTCATACTGGCATAACTGTGTACCCACTAGGGCTTGTAGTAGTATAACTTTTGGTGGAAAAATCTCATCCCTGAATATTTGTATTGGTCCAAAATCTGTATGTAGCCCACAAATCTGTTGTGAAAGAGTTTAGGATTAGATTGACTTGTAATATTTTTTGTCTTTCTGTATGGATCATCTTTCATCTCAAAAAATATTCTCTCTCATCATCTCCACCCCAAGATCAGACTTCTTAGATATTCTTTTCTATTTCAGGCATTAAACTTTTTCTTGTTGGGGTGATAGTCAGTTGCCAATTTATTCAGTCTTAATCTTTTCTGTATCTGTGCACTTTTGTATTTGCTGGAACAATTATTGTGCTGTGGAGTTAGGAGGTTGGGAAATCCGTGAAACATTTCAGTCAGCTCTTAAAATATTTATTAGCTTGAGATGTGTTCCATGGAAGCTGTATAAGGGCGTTGGCTTTAAGATTCCTGTTTGACCAGTCTTACCAAGGAAGATAATGGGCTTCCAGAGAAACGATCCATTGCCCAAGCAGAGCCATCAAGAAGGATAGGAGTGGTGGTGGAGTCTCCACACCCACACTTTGGGTGTGAGGTGGAATACCAGCTGTCCTGTGGTTTGTGGGCTATTGAACCATTAAAAGATCACAGGTCTAGGCGTGAGGATTGTATGTACTGGGCCTTGGACTAGTGAAAAGGAGGAAATCCTTTTTGTAACTAAGTTTTATATACTAAAAATGATTTGCTCAGAGGCTTGGAATGTTAGAAGCTTTGACAAAGATGGATTTGTTGGCAGAGTGCAGGTGAAGCAGTCAAAGGTACACGACAAACTTGTTAACCCAGTACTTAAGTTTTTCACATGAATATCATGGCCGTATATGTGGCGTGCATGTATTTATTTAGATCTCTATCTCTAGATATATCTGTTTTTTTTTTTTTTTAAGCAATAAGGTTCCACTGACATGAGCATGGCTGGTGCTACAGTTTACCATGTGCTGTGCATACACTCCTCCCTACCAGTAGTGATCATAACACTTTCACTTTTGGCCATAAATCTGCATACAAAGTTCTGGCCTGGGCTTTTTAATACCCCTTCATGAGCCTGGTAGAAAGGGGAGAGAGTCCATTTTCCATTCTTCTTGGAGATTTCACTTCTAAATGATTTAGATGTGCACAGAGAATACACCTATAAAGTTTGAGGACGATGCCAAGCTGGGAGCGGTTGCAAGTGCTTTGGAGGATAGGTTTAAAATTCAGAATGATCTGGACAAACTGGAGGAATGGTCTGAAGTAAATAGGATGAAATTCAATATGGACAAATGCAAAGTACTCCACTTAGGAAGGAACAATGGATTGCGCACACACAGAATGTGAAATGACTGCCTAGGAAGGAGTACTGCAGAAAGGGATCTGGAGGTCATAGTGGATCATAGGCTAAATATGAGTGGAGAACAGTGTAACACGGTTGCAAAAAATAAAATAAAATAAGCAGACCTCATTCTGGGATGTATTAGCAGGAGTATTGTAAACAAGACACAAGAAGTAATTCTTCTGCTCTACTCCATGCTGATAAGGCCTCACCTGGAGTATTGTGTCCAGTTCTGGGCGCTACATTTCAGGAAGAACGTGGACAAATTGGAGAGAGTCCAGAGAAGAGCAACACAAATAATTAAAGGTGTAGAAAACATGACCTGTGAGGAAAGATTAAACAAATTGGGTTTCTTTAGTCTGGAGAAGAGGGGGGACATAACAGTTTTCAAGTACATAAAAGGTGGTTACAAGGAGGAGAGTGAAAAATTGTTCTTCTTAACTTCTGAGGATAGGACAAGAAGCAATAGGCTTAAATTGCAGCAAGAGAGGTTTAAGTTGGACGTTAGAAAAAAATTCCTAACTGTCAGGGTTATTAAGCACTGGAACAAATTGCCTAGGAAGGTTGTGGACTCTCCATCATTGGAGATTTTTACAAGCAGGTTAGACAAACACCTGTCAGGGATGATCTAGTTATTACGTAGCCTGCAGGGGACTGGCCTAGATGACCTCTTGAGGGCCCTTCCAGTCCTACCAGTCTATGCTTCTTGCCTCTCTTGAACAGGATTTCTAAAATCCTTTCTGAATCCAAGACTTTATCATGGCAACATGATGCACTTACCAAATGCCTGGCTATTTAATTTTACATCCTTCCCTTTGCTCTGCTTTTGCACTACAGTGCTGAGGAGAGGGGTCAGATTCTCAGCTTTGGAGACTGAAGTCTTCTGTCCACAGAGCTCTCACAGCACAAACATCAGTAGAGTTAGCCCCTCCTTCACTGCCCTGCCCAAATACCTGGAGGGACTATCTGCTGTAGCTGCTGCCTGGCAAGCCTTGGAGGGGCAAGTCTGCAAGATATTAAATAGGTTCTGAAATAACTCTTGAGGCCCATGCAACGTACTGGTGTTCAGTGCAGCATGTCTGTCTCACAGGCAGCACATGGAGTGTGGTAAGGTTGCATCTGAGCTCAGGTACTGGAGAGACCCATCTCACTGTAAGGCCATGTAATAACCGCCCTGTATTGCTCCAAAAACTTGCCTTTTAAAATACTGTTACCAGTGCACTACTCCTTGATACCCAAGTGGTTGAAACCTGGCTGCTGTTGATTTGTTGCTGCTTTATCTTTAGAAGAGGGTGGGACCCTTTCCTACTCCAATGAAAAGTTATCGCTCCCTTGCCCCACAGGTAACATGGTGGAATGGTGTTTGCCCCAAGACATTGACTTGGAAGGTGTTGAGTTCAAATCCATGGCAAGTGGATCGCACAAAGTCCAGTCGGATTTCATGTGAGTATATTTGGGCTGCGCTGCTCCTTCCCATCCTCCTTAGCCACACATGCCCTCCTCCCTTAGTCCAAAGCAGTAAAAATGAACACTGCCCATCAACTAAGGCCCCCCCAAATTGACTTGCCATAAAACTAGCTGCTTTGGAGTGAATTTTCCAGATATTTAGCATCTGCTGCATCAAATATCTGCTATTTATGTAGATCCTAACGTATAATGACTCCTGCTCTGGTGGCCAGCCCGCCAACAAGAGCAGACCTGGTTCCTAGAGGTAAACTGACACTAATGCATGAGGCACGAACAAATAAGGAAGCAAACAGAATTGCTAATTTCAGGCTCGTTAGGAATGTCAGCAGTCGGCCAGGAGGCGTGGTGGGGATGGAGCAAACTCTTTGCCAGATGGAAAAGAGCAAAACGGGGGGGGGGAGAAGGGGAGGGTTTTTTTGTTTGTGGTTTTAAGAGAGAACGCAGAAGAAAACATGTTTAAAAAAACTTGGATGTCTCCTTTAGATGTTGAGTAGTGATCATGTCCTGTCCCCATTTCACTTCCTCGTCCCTCCCGCCTCCTAATGGGAATTCTGGTTCATGCCCTTCCCATCGTATTCCTCCCCACTCTGCTCTCAAGGGCCCCGAGTTGTGGTGCCTCCCTTTGGCCAAGGAGGACCGACAGCTGCTCCCTTTAGAGCTTGTAGACTCCACTCTCTGATTGGCCAGAAGAGGTTTCATCTGCAGTGTTTCCATTCTCTGCAAGCCTGGGAGATGGCTTGGGGGCCAAACAGGCCATCGTTACGACAGCTAGTCTGACTTACTTTATAAAGTGTGGTGTGTTATCCTCGCTGGTCTTTGGAAACACGACGTTATGCTCCCTAGGCCCAGCTTTCTACACGAGCCTCTCTTCTGAAAATTTCCCCATCGTTGCTAACACAGGTTCCACTGCACCAGTGCTAGCAAAGGTCGGGCCTTTAGTGGTAGGAGAGGCACTGGAGGCTGCCAGCTTTCTGAATACTGTGTAATGTAGACCATGTTGTCAATAGATTTAGAAGACATGGTTAAAATGGCAGAGGCCTGTGTGCACAGGAGGAGACGTAGGGGGTGGGGAACTGATATTTTTGATGGCCCTTCCTAGGATCTGCTTGTTATACCTTGCCATGTATGTGCCTCTCTTCCCACCCTCCCCATTTCTAGTTATTTTCTGTTGCACATTTGTCCCCAGTTATTTCCGGAAAGGGCTCTGCTTCGGCCTGGCCTGCTTTGAAAACATGCCCGTGGAGAGTGAATTAGAGCGTGGCGCCCGCATGAAGTCTGTGGGGATTCTCTCCCCTTCATACACCCTGCTCTATAGATACATGCACTTCCTGGAGAACCAGGTCCGGTAAGTTGTCTGTGGGATACAGGATTGGCTGCCTGTACTGAAGGGTCTGAATGTTTGTGTGGATGGTTGGATGTGAAGGTTTCCCAGGCTACATTGAACATCAGGTTGCGTGTCATTTGAAAGGTAATTTTCCCTGCATGTGCAATAAGTTTTTGGCTTTGAGCTCAGACTTTGAAATGTTGCCACATTAAGACCTTTTTCCAAGAAACAGTACTTCCGTGTGTGTGTGTGTTAGTTACAGGAAATGAGGATCATGATGGAGGAAAGAAATTAAACTTGAATTAGTAATACAGGACCACTTCAGTGTGTAACACTTTTTTTTTTTTTTTTTTTAATCTGCTGGAGAATTGCTTGTTTTGAACAGGTATTAGAACAAAATAATTGTTGATTTCCCTCCTGTCCCTTAAAACATCAATTTGCTAGAGGTTTCTTGGAAGATTTTTAGAGCCAACAGTGAGATTTTGTTCTTGGCTACATACATGCTTCTGCTGTCTACACAGCGCTGTCCAGTGGGACTGCAGGATCAGAGCTTGCTAAGGGAATCAAGTAAGGGTAAAAGAGGACTTGCAGGAAAACAAGTTCATCTTGTTTGAACTTGTTCTAAATGTTAAAAACCAGGATCCATTCTCCCATGCATGGAGTATGAGAGTCCTGCCTGACCATCTCAGCCTTGCCCATGTTCCTTGGATGCACTGAAAGATACAGATGCTTATGATGCTGGTGCCACAGCCTGTGAAATCTGAGGCACCCAAGGCTGAATCATGGACTAGGAGATGTATGTGGCTGGGGGCAAGGGCCCTGGGGTCTGTGGACTCCATAAATCTTTCCTACTTTTTGTCTTTTCTAGACACCAGCTGGAGATGCCAGGGCATTACTCCCACCTAGAGGCATTTTATGATGACAAGAAGGGGGTTCTCCCTGCTGGCAAGGGTACCTCCAGCTCTCAGCCACCCGTCCACTGGCTGCCCTCCATCCACAGATACATGTATCCAGAGATGAAGGTGAGGCAGGCGCTGTCCAGCTTGTATAAACGTGCAGTGCATGATGCTCCCGATGGGTGTAGGACTAGCTAATTTGTGTATAGCAAGTCTCTCTGCTAGGCAAGCTAGTGGAGTTTTCTCCATGCATTTCAGCATTTGTGGGCTGAGCCCTAAGCTGCACAAGGTAGATTCCTGTTGTTTAGGCTGAGTATCTCAGGCAGCAACTATCCACCGTTGCAGTGTGCGTGCTGCTCTTGCTCCCACGCATCTAGTGTCACAAGTGTGGTGGGTGGTGCTGGGCTGTGTGTATCTACGACTTGCTCCCATATTTTGCTTCTGTATTTAGCATCTCTGTGTGTTCCTGTAGCATCTCTCATGAGCCGTTCTCTTCCCCGACCCTCAGATCACACACCCCGCAGGCTGTATGTCTCAGTTCATTAAGTTCTTTGGAGAGCAGATCTTCATCCTCTGGAAGTTCGCTCTGCTACGCAAGCGCATTTTGATATTTTCACCACCGCCAGTAGGAGTTGTCTGCTATAGAGGTACGGCGTCAAGGTCAAAGCCTTCAAACCTCTTCCTTCCCACGCCTGAAGGACTGACTTGTGCACACACCCCTCCTAGCTGATATGGAGGGACGCAGTGCCGTTCTCCCAAGCCCACCGCTAGGGAAAGTGATGGGCAGGGTTTGCAAAGCAACCCTGAGGCTCCCCTCCCCTACTTCTTGCAAGCATGTTTTTCCCAGGCCTTGTTGGCCCGAAGAGCTATGAAGCTGAACTCTTGTCTCTGTGTGGCAGCACCAGATGCTGTTGCCTGACTTTCATTCCACCAACAAGCTGGGTGCAGGGGGAGAGAATGTCTAAACATTCTGCAGGAACTTAAGTAAGAATTTAAATAACATGTTGCCCAATGGGAGAGTCAGAGTGAAATGTAAGCATTTCAGTGCCGGTCAGATGCCACTATGCTGTGCTATATACGGTGTGTGTTTAGGAGCACTTTGGGCAAATGGGGACACGAGAAATAAGGAGGGGGCATTGTGGACCCTACTGAGAGGGAATATTGTGGGCATTGTGTTATCCCTTTCTCTCACCTGCAGTGTATTGCTGTTGCTGCCTAGCCAATGTCTCACTGCCTGGCATTGGGGGGACCGTTCCAGAGTCCAAGCCTTTCTTCTATGTGAATGTGGCAGACATAGAAATGCTGGAGACTGAAGTGTCTTATGTGGCCTGTAAGTACAACAGCCTCTTTGCTTCCCTACTGCTTCACACCAAGCTGAAATCTCTGATGGATCAGGAGGTACCTTTTAAAACTTAAGCTGAAAAAAATCTCCTGATGGTGAGAGATACTGTGAAATAAAAGAGAAGAGATCTTAACCTGCCTGGGTGTGGCCAGGTCCTGTTCTCATCCAACAATCACTGGATCGTAATGTGTCTGGGTGTGGCTGTGTCTTGTTCTCATCGAACAGCGACGCAAGCAAGAACAGCCACCCTGCAAGGAGAGTGTCTGAAAATCTTCCTCTCCCTCTGGTCTCGGCAGGCACGACGGAAAAGATCTTTGAGGAGAAGCGAGATCTCTACGATGTCTATGTGGATAACCAGAATGTGAAGACGCACCATGAGCACCTGCAGCCACTCCTGAAGATTAACAGTGCCGACAAGGAAAAATACCGGCGGCTCAATGACCAGAGGTAGTGGAGGGGACCTGAGTGATGGAGCGATGGGACCAGTATCTCAATCTCTTCACTTCCTTTGAATTTTCTTGTCTTCATTTTCCTGATTTCTTGCTGCTTTGGTTTATTCTTTTGACCCTCTCATTTAATACCTTTATGGTGGTGGTTTGTATTACAGCAGGGCCTAGAGACTCCAACTGAGATCAGGGCACCTTTGTGCTGGGCACTGTGCAAACACAGTATTAGTCAGTCCCTGTCATTTTTATATAGACAAGGTAGATAAAGGGTGAGAAGGGAAACCGGCACGGAGATGAAGTGACTAGCCCAGGGTCATGCAATGGGTTTAGGGGCAGCGCTGGGAGTAGAATCCAGATCTCCTGACTCCCAGCCTAGTGCCCTGTCCATGGGACTCTGCTGCCATCTCTAGATTAAAGATGAAGATTTTAGTACCTTTATCTTCAATAAATGGTGATGTCTTCAGTCAGACTCCTGTTTGGCGCTATTGCTCTGGGGTTTGTTGCTTGTACATGTGTTTGATTTGCCCCCCTTCTCCCAGGCAGATGTTGATGTACTCTCAGGAGGTGGAGGACGACTGCAGCTCCTGTGAAGAGGATCTCTTTATCTTGTGAGTTGCTCCCTGCACCACTGAATAACAACCAGGCTCCGGGGAATCTTTAGAGTGGTGGTTTCACACTTGAGGGCCTGGGCACCACTGGCAGCCTGGGGTCCAGTCGTTGTCTCGCTGGTTTCATATCACACTAACTTAGCTTGCAAAAATAGAGATGTCTGGGGGGCTGGAAGTGTTTGGAGGGAATATGGGGACCCATAAAGCATGGGTTGGAAATGGAAGAGATTTCTAGAACACCAGCATCTTCTGACCCGCTTCAGAATTCCTGGCTATGCTGGGGGAGGCCAAACAGCTTGTTGAGATGCAGACAGTGCCCTGGCTGTGGGGAGCAAACTGCTTCTGCTGGGCGGTTACATGTGTGACGGTTTCAGAGGAGGCTGGGGTGAAGGGTTGGGTAATGCTTGTGTGGTTCCTGCAGTCTGTGAGGAAATACGTGGCAACTGAAGTACTAAATAGACCCTGGCCCCTCCTATGGAGCCCTTCACCACACACTACTATTGCTCATGTCCTATGGTGGGAAAGGGATATGCACGAGAGTAATACGATTAAATTGTCTAAAGGAAAATTGAGGGTGAATATTAGGTAGAGCTTGCCAAGACTGAGGTGCTTTGGACTATGAACAGCCTGCCACAGCGCACAGGGGAAGCCTCATTGCTCGAGTCATTTAAAACTAGACTATGGTTGGAGAGGATATGGGACCAGGGAACAGTGCTGTACCTGAAAGGGGATGCAGGAGGTGGCCAGTCGAGCTTTCATCTCCAAGTTCTGTTCCTTGTTTGGTGCTGAAGCTTAGTCATAGCTAGAATCTGGTGGCTCAAGAACAGGTAATGGAGAAATCATTTGGGTCAGCATAGTGGCTTGGTGCTTTTGTCCACTCAGTTCCCCCACTGTATTAGGGGAGACATACGTTGGATTTCTACACTTGGTCTTTTATTCCCCACAATAAATGTGTTAGTTGAGTCAGCGCCTTGCTTAAATAAGCCAGCCTGAAGCCTGTTGAGTAAAAGGTTCGCTATTGACCTACCACATGTGCAATACCATGGTGGAAAGAAGGTAGGAATGTTTAAAGTGGGACTCTGGGGATGGTGTAAAAAATCTGTCTTCCATTTTTCTTTTCAATCTCATCTGCTCTTCCCTGTTGGCTGTGTCCTCCTGCAGGTTTTTCATGGAGCAGAACAATCGGATATTTCAGACACTGATGGAGGTGTCAGCCAGCCAGGACAAGACCTTGACAGCTGACCATGCCCGGGGCATGGGCCTGGACCCACAAGGTGACCGAAGCTTCCTAATGGACCTGCTGGAAGTGTATGGCATTGATGTCATGCTAGTCATTGATAACCCCTGCTGCACTTAAACTGAGGACAAGAGAGACAGGGAGCAGCGATGGCTTTTTAAAGACTATGGAACATTGCTTAGGAGCATCACTGGAACTCACCACACCGTCACTGGAAGGATCTCATTTATTTAATAACTTTATACAGAAAAGTATTTATAATTTTAAACAAAATGTGATTTTATTTTCCTTTCTTCAGGATTGACTGCTCAAGGTTTGGTTTGGTTTTTTCCTGATATCCATAGGAGCAATGGCACCTTTTCACCAACCCTCACCGTTGACATTGGCAGCTGTTTTTGGCCTAGTCTGGACTTCTGAGGGGCTGGAGATTTCAGGGAAAGCACCTTCTCTCATGGGGACCAATGTGAAATCATGCATATTTGAGCCTTCAGGAGTTGACTGTGGAGAATGTCCCCTCCAACTGGGTATTGTACAGTGCTCCCCAATCTTTTCAGCATCCTCCACCCTACCGTGTCTCTCACTGGGGACAGTTGATTATGCAGGTTAGACTCTGTACACCCCACTCGCCCACCCTTTCAGCAGTTGAGTTGGAGTCCAACCACCATTCCCATCTCTGGCAAAAGAAAATGGTTAAGACTAGACACGCTACAGGATCATGTGATCGCTTTGCATTATGGGATGCTAGAAGATGTTACGTTCTCATTTCCAGCATTTGAAAGGTGGAGTGATCTAGAGCCTACCCTCCCCATTTCATGCCTGGAGCGCAGGAGAATGGAGAAACTCTTCACCTCCTGGTGTCTCCTAAACTCCCCCTTTATTTATTATTTGCATGGATCCTGCTTTGATTAAAGATTTTTAAAACAGCAGGATCGTGTCCAGGTAGCCCCTACCGAGCAGCGACCAATATCACAACGGCACCCTGCAGTTAATGTGCTTTGCAGTCTCTTCTCAGGGCAGGGTTGAGCACCGTTGATAGAGCTGTGTGGGAAATGCTTGGCTCTGACACGTCATCAGCCCTTACTTTGTTGCTAACTTCATCAACAGAACAGGCAGAATCTTTCTGCAGGGTCTGCTACTTACTCCGGCTTCCTGTCTTGTTCTCCCAGTGCCATGAGTTTGTATCGGTTTGTGCTTCGCCCTGGCTACCAACTTACCAGTCATTGTTCTGCTTGAGCATTCAGTTAAGTGGATCATCTTTTTGTCAGGCAGCTGTCAATGGGACAGCCCACTTATTTTTCAGTGAGAGGTACAGGAGGTTGTAGCCCTGGTGCCTGGATGGCCTCACTATTTGCAGTGAGTTCCCTTGTGGCTTGGAGTTCTCTTCTGGCTCAGCTGCCAGAGGTGGAAGTGAGGATGTGTGTGTGTTTGGGGGGGGGGGACAAAGTGACAGATTTTTTTTCTTCCTGCCCATTAGCTCTGCTTCTCTTCAGCATAGGGATTTCTCATTCCTCAGCAATGGATGTGGGCCAGTGACCGCTGGCTGGACAATAGGGCCCCTTGCTTGTTCCCGTGAAAGGCTGGCTGTGTTCAGGATGCCTTCCTCCCCTTGCAACACTTGAATGTATGATGCTAAATCCTAGGAGTAACTAGCTGCCTTGCAGCACCTGATGTTCTTACTGGCCTTCATTCAGCAAGGCAGTACCACTGACTGCTCTGTCCTGGTGACGTCAGTAGTTTACTCACATGCTTGAACTTAGGTATATGCTTAAGTACCTTGTTTGAACTGAGACCATAATGATCTAGCTGCCCTTTCCCCCAGACTTATTTCAGCATCTTGGCTCTCTTGTAAGCCATAATTCAGCATTTCATGTTCTAGCCCTGTAGCTACTATGGAAGTGTTTCTTGCCATCAGCAGAGTGGACACTCCAGTCCTTCTTTCTTCTGGATTTTGCTGCTGGATAGGGTTCAGCCTGACCACCCTACATTCCCCTCAGTTCCTTGTTTTAACCCATGTATTTATTTAAACACACCTCCCGCTCAAAGAATCTCCTGCATTGAATCACTGATTTAGCGTCTGTGCCTTTTGAGGTGCTTAGAGGCAGGCACATTCCATCTCTCCATGGGGTTAATCTCCAGCAGACATCTCAGGTGTTAACTTGAGATTCAAGGCCTTTCCTAACCCAAGGGAGCAGAGAGCTTGAGGGAAGGGAAAGGAGGGAAACAACCTGGCACAGGCAAATCAAGGCCCTCCTAGTGCTATTTTAACAAGTATAATACGTAGCACGGCACGGCCTCCGAGTGCTGGGTGAGCAGAGTGGAGTCTTTTCTCTCTGCTTCTCCTGGACTCCGACTGCTTTCCTACAGGAGAAAAACATGCTGCTACTTTTGTTGTCTATCCTCTGTGGTTGTATTGCATTAATTCTCCCTACAAGCCTAGTGTTTGACAGACTGAAGAACTTGAACAGAGCTGGTTGCAATTAAAAGGTCACTTCTGAGGAAGGCTTAATCTTGATTTTTGTTTTGCTTTTGTTTTGACCTCTTTTCAAGCTGAATTGCCCAATACAATCCACATTTGACTCTGCCCTCAGTTGGTACCCTCCCACCTCATTTCTGTTGGGTTCTATCTCTCTAGCCATCCCCACCCAAGATTCTCTCTGCAAGGAGGAGGTACGTCAGACATGCATTAGTGCGGTTTGAGTAACCTATGTTAGGAATAAGCAAAGGCATTGAAACGTGAATCACCTAGTTCCTTTTTGCTACTGCTTGACTAGGGGTTTTGCTCTGATCAGCTTTTGGGGGCCCTCTCCTGTTCCCACTGAAGTTGGTAGTTCTGTTCATTTGAGCAGGAGCAGGCATTTAGTTTGTATCCTTGGGAGGTTACAGCCCTCTGCAACCTAAATCTTTCTAACACGTTTCTGAGCTGTAGCAGGGCCGTGTGTGTTCATGCGCTGTCAGAAAACCAGCTCCATCAGATGGCATTGCCAGAAGAGGATAAAGGAGGAGCAGCAAAGCGATGGCATAGCTAGGGTGAAAGAATCAGCTGACTTGCATCCCAGCTGGATAGCTGTAGTCTATCTGCTCTCCTGTGTAATCTGGTTTCCGTAAGTCTCTCTTGAAAGGCAAATGCTTCAGGAGGTGAGAAGTATCACACAAGAAGGGCCTCCTTCTTGCTGTATTGGAGGGAATTTGCTCCCTAAATATGAGGCAGTGCTGTGACTCATCTGCTTTGGCTGTCTGAAGTAATTCCTCCTCATGCCTCGCTTCTTGGTAGTGAAAGCAGTGGTAGTTCTGCAACCTTAGGGTAGATGTGTGCAACCCAACAGTGTAGTATAGAGGGATTAGTTAAGAATTGCTAAGGAAGCAGTTACTGGTTTCTACCTTTGAAGACAAAGCATTATTGCACATATTTCCTCCTAGCATAACAGGCAACATGAATCTGAATTCTTCCCCCCTTCCTTCAAAAGTCAACTCTTGAGAATTACTGCAACCCTGTGTAGTGCTTTGCTGTTCTGGGTGTTTTTTTTAAACCCAGTGCAGCTATAAGGTCTTGGTAAAGGAGTGCTTTTTGGGGTGGGGGCAGAGGAGGAGAATGTGTTTAACAGTAAAGCTTGTTTGTTGATTGTTTTGATTAAAAGGAGGGCAAGATGTGACACTGTCCTTTTGTCATTGGGAGCTAGTGGAAAATCCTTCTGCGGAAATGTTGAAAGTACTTTGCCTTTAAAGTGGTGCCTTTTAGGTTTTTTAATGTGACTATGGCTGTTAGCATTTGTAGTTGCATGCCATCTGATCCCCTCATAACAGCCATGTGACAAAGTTGTAATGTGTCTCAGATTGGAGTCTTTCTAACCTCACACTAACTTCTGTGTTTAAAGGAGAGAGCAACAGCCTTTCCATCAGACTCTACAGTGCATTCTCACCGTTGATTTGACATGAGTCTGTACGTAAGAACCCAGTTCTTCCCCGCAGGGAGAGAGAGAGAAGGGAAAGTGGAAGCTGGTTAAACTTCCAAGAGTTCTCTGAACTTTGTATTAGTCACAACTACTTAAGCAGGTCATAAGATCTATCTTATGATGTGTAACCCTTGATTATTTGTACTACAGGGCTGTATATAATTGTAACAGCCTGGGCTGGATCCACTGCTGTCAATTGGCTTCACAGAATTGTAGGACTGCAGGAGACCTCAAGAGGTCATCTAGTCCAGTCCCCTGCACTTATGGCAGGACTAAGTATTATCTAGCCCATCCCTGACAGGTGTTTGTCTAAACTGCTCTTAATCTCCAATAATGGAGATTCCACAACTTCCCTAGGCAATCTGTTCCAGTGCTTAAATTTCAGCAAGAGCTAACTGTCAGGGTAGTTAGGACCATTGCTTCTTGTCCTATCTTTAGAGGTTAAAGAGAACAATTTTTTCTCCCTCATCTTTGTAACAACCTTTTATGTACTTGAAAACTGTTATGTCCCCCCTCAGTCTTCTCTTCTCCAGACTAAACAAACCCAATTTTTTCAATCTTCCCTCATAGGTCATGTTTTCTAGACCTTTAATCATTTTTTTTGTTGTTCTCTGAACTTTCTCCAATTTATCCATATCTTTCCTGAAATGTGGTGCCCAGAACTGGACACAATACTTCAGTTGAGGCCTAATCAGTGTACAATAGAGTGGAAGAATTACTTCATGTCTTGCTTACAACACTCTTGCTAATACAGCCCAGAATGATGTGGGGTTGTTTTTGGCAAGTGTGTTACACTGACTTGTATTTAGCCTGTGATCCACTATGACCCCCAGATCCCTCTCTGCAGTGTGTAATCCACTGTTCATTCTTAAGTGGAGTACTTTGCATTTGTCCTTATTGAATTTCATCCTATTTACTTCAGACCATTTCTCCAGTTTGTCCAGATCATTTTGAATTTGAACCCTATTCGCCAAAGCACCCGTAACCCCTCCCAGCTTGGTATAGTTTGCAAACTTTATAAGTGTACTCTATCTAAATCACTTGATGAAGATATTGAACAGACCCAGAACTAATCCCTGCAGGAACCACTTGATATACCCTTCCATCTTGATTGTAAACCACTGATAACTACTCTTAAAGAATGGTTTTCCAATTAGTTATGCACCTACCTTGTAATAGCTCCATCTAGGTTGTATTTCATAGTTTGTTTGAGACAGTCATGCAAGACAGTAGCAAAAGCTGCACTATAATAAAAATATACCACATCTACCACTTCTGCCCCCATTCACAAGGCTTGTTACCCTGTCAGAGAAAGCTATTACATTGCTTTGATATGATTTGTTCTTGACAATAAGGTGAAAAGTAACAGCATGGATTTATCTTCTAGGTGTTTGCAAATTGATTGCTTAATTATTTGCTCCATTATCTTTCTGGGTACTGAAGTTAAGCTGACTGGTCTGTAATTCCCTGGGTTGTTCTCATTTCCCTTTTTATAAATTGGCACTATAGTTGACCTTTTCCAGTCTTCTGGAATCTCTCCCTTCTTTCATGATTTTTCAAAGATAATTGTTAATGGCTCATCTCCTCGAGTATTCTAGGATGCATGTCATCAGGCCCTGGTGACTTGAAGACATCTAATTTGTTCTTTCCCTATTTTAGGCTCTGATTCTACCTCATTTTCACTGGCATTCACTGTATTAGCTGTCCCATTGCTACTAACCTTTTTTGGTGAAAACCGAAACAAATCATTTAATACTTCTGCCACTTTTACATTTTCTGTTCCTGTTTTCCCCTCCTCATTGAGTAATGGACATACCCTGTCCTTGGCCTTCCTCGTGCTTCTAATGTATTATTTTCTTGTTACACTTTGTCTGTAGCTAGTTTAGTCTTTTGTGCCTTGGCCTTTTTAATTTTGTCCCTACATACTTGTTTGTTTATATTCATTCTTTGTAATTGATCTAATTTCCACTTTTT